TCTTGAATTCTCATGGGGTGGTCCTTTTCTAGTTTCCCTCATAAACATGTCCATGTAAGAAAAACAATGAATCCCATTTTACATCCTTTTGCTTTTCGTATCTGTTAAGAGCGTGGTACACATTTTGGTGCTTCTAATTTTGTTTAAAATATATCATAATGCTCACTGTAACTTTAACTCTAATCTTACTCGACCATTTCTTTTAAAGTCAACCCAGGACTACCTAAGGGGGTCTAGGTAGAAATTAGTACTTGTTGATTAGTTAACCACTTTGACATATATAACACAGGTGTTTCTTCCTAATATTATAGATGTGGAAAAGATAATTCAAGAATGACAGCAATTGGTGTCACAAAACTGACATTCAAGGAATTGACTCCATTTATAAAACAGAAATGAAACCCAAACAGACCTGGGGAGGAATATATGTACAATTGTCTCGTGAGAGTAAATTCCGCACCATGCCACCGCCACAGCAGAGCCATTGAGCCTTCCTTGATTGTCCTTTCTTGTGAATAACGTAGAATGACAGGCATTTCCTCTGACTTTGTATCTTTCCAAGAAGTTCCTTCACAACTTCATTTTTGAAGTCAATTTTATTTCCATTTTTCAGGAGAGAAACTCAAACCTCACTGTAAAACATTGACCGGGGGTCCCAGGCCCTGTGTTTGGCTGGTTTCGTTCATTTCGATCCACATTGCTCGTCTCTGGAAAGCACACGTACCTCATCACTTTGCTGACTCCTACTTGTGTTTAATAATGCAGCTCAATCATAGTCATCTCCAGGAAACCCACTGTGGAAGTTAATCCTGACTCCTGCCCACCATCTGTTTTAGGTGTTCTTCCTCAATGTTGACACAACACTGTTTGTAACATACCTTGACTGAGAATTTGTTAGCTCACAAAGAAATCTAGGGCAAGATGCTTGCCTCATTTAGTTTTGCACTCAGTAAACATTTGTTGAAAAATGGAATATCCTGAGATGGAGCCAAGCCTAGGGAGTCAGTTCCCCTCAATGTTTCTCATACCTGAATACAGCTGGAAGAAAAACAAAGATCATTGCTTCAGTAGGCTGTCGATAAGCTCCAGTCTTCCAGAAACAACCTCAAATGAAAGATGGGCTACTCCCAGCAGCCATGTGTCTTCATAAACACCAGAACCTGAATGCATGAGGTCTCAGAGTGGATGGAGGAGGAGACAGCACAGTAGATGGTCAGGAAAAGTTTCTGGAGTCAGGCTTCTCAGATTTGGATCCTGTCTCCATCAGCCCCATCAGTTGACTTAGCTTTTTCTAGACCTTGATTTCTAGTTTCCCAAATACAGAAAGCACAACTTTCTTGTGTTATCTGTTGCTAGGTAACAATATACAACAAAATTTATAGTGCAAAACAATAAACTTGTATTATTCCATGTAACTCTGTGGTTAGGAGTTTGGGAGAAGGCCTATGGGGTTGAGAGGCTCTTGTGAGGTTGCAGGTGCTGGCTGCCGCTGTAATCACTGGAAGCTTTGACTGAGGCCGGAGGAGCCACACTCACGATGAAGCGTCCTATGACTGTCTGCTGAGCAGCAAACAGCAGCTGACCCAGAGCAACATGACCTGTTCTCAGAAGGCCTCAAGCTTTCTTCCTTTACATCCTGCATGTTAGAAGGAAGTCACCGGCGTATCCCATATTCGTGAAGAGAATCATGTCCTACCTTTTGTAAAGAAAAACATCAAAAGCATTTGTTACTTTAAAATCATCACATTTCTTTCCCAGGGTTGAGTGAGAATGAACTGAGATATTAATTGCACTGTACTTAGCATAAGACTTAGTACCAAAAATGTTTGTTTCTCTCTCCTAACTAGAAATACTTACCCTTTTCATAGATCAAAAAACAAAAACAAATCATGGACCGACCTGCTGTCAATTTGAAGGTTTAAAACAAACAAACAGCCAGGAGGTGATGGTGTATGCCTTTAATCCCAGCACTTGAGAGGTAGAGGCAGGCTGATCTCTATGAGTTCGAGACTAGCCTGGTCTACAAGAGCTTGTCCCAGGACAGCCTCCAAAGCCACAGAGAAAGCCACAAAAAAATCTCTTTACAAGAATAAAGCAAAGGACCCTGAATCCAAATTAGTAACGTAGCCCATTAAAGTTTTCTGTAGCATTCTTGAAATAAAAAGCTGTTTATGGATACATACTTTGATTTTTTCATTCTTTTAAACAAATTTGATATTATGATCACAACATTTTACCCTTCCCTTTCCTCTCTCAAAACCCTCCTGCCTCATGCCTCTTTTCTCTTGTTCAAATTTATGGCCTCTCATTTTGTTGTTACTATATGTATATGTGGGAAATAGAACCTGCTCAGTCTGTACAGTGCTATTTGTATGGATTATTTTCAGGGCTGAGCACTTGATATTGGATAACCAATTGGAAGACTATTTCTCCTGCCCTCAGCATCCCTAAATTGTCTATAGCCCTTGTTGTAGGGTTGATGCCTCATGGGATTTTCTCTACCTACTTTGGTATGTCTGTTGTTGTCCTTGTGCAGCTCATGCTTAGGTAGTCTTGATGGTAGGTTTCCTTGGAAAAGAGTGACATCTATGTGACAAGGAGCAAAGGCAGTACAGCTGGTGCTGGCAGTGAGTGGTGACCACTGAAGAGTTGCCTCAGGAGGAGGTGCTTAATCTAGTAAGAAAGGGTCTACTTGTAAATGGCATTCGCTTATCCCAACATGCCTAAAAGAGCCTTGCCAACCTTGTGGTGTGAGTGTGCAGCTGTTGGGTATATGCCCAAAAGTGGTATTGTAGGGTCTTGAGATAGATTGCACACTCACGGCACAAGAACATTTGCTCAACTATGTTCATAGCAGTATCATTCATAATAGCCAGAGATACCCCTCAACCAAAGAATGGACAAGGAAAATGTGTACATTTACACAATGGGGTACTACTCAGAGGTAAAAAAAAAAAAAAATGACATCTTGATATTAGCCGGTAAATGGACAGAACTAGAAAAAAACATCCTGAGTGAGGTAACTGAGACCCGGGAAGACAAATATAATATACTCACTCATAAGTGGATATTAGACATAAAGCAAAGGACAACCAGCCTACAGGACACAACCCCAGAGAAGCTAGTAACAAAGAGGGCCAAAAGAGACACACATGGATTGGCCTAGAAATGGGAAAAAGACAAGATCTCTGGAGTAAATTGGGAGTGTGGGGGGGGGGAGGATGGAAGGGGAGAAAGCAGGAGGGAAGGGGTGTAGGGAAAATGTATATTTCAATAAAAAATAATTATTCATCAAAAAAAGCTGGTCATGCCTCTCTGTACCTGTAACCCCAGTCTTGCTAACAGCACTTTCCACATCACATAGAAATTTGCTTGATTCTCTCTGTTTATAGGGTTGCACACAGGTGCTGGCTGTCCACCCCACAGTACAATATGCAACACAAGGAAGAGGGCCAGTGATTTGATTGAAGAAAAAAAAAAGAATAAGCCCTTAAACTAGCTAAGCCACTTAAAATAAGTCAGTCTGTTATGCCTACTTGTATTAAACTGAACAATTTCTTACTCAAATGAAACCAAAGGGATATTTTCTTTAAATGTGTATCTTGGGAGTGGGGATGAGAGACTAGAAATGTTGACTACAGATGCATTTGGGAATGTTTAAATCCACTGCTCCCCTTTTGTCTCATTTCTTCTTTGCTATTTGGTTTTATAAATGCTTAAAATGAACTGAATCTTAAATGACTTTAACATTAATGATGCTTTTTCATAAATGATTGCTTTAGGATTCAGAGTGTGTCTCTTTAGTCTACCTTTAAGTAACCATACAGTGGTTCATGTAGAAATAGCCCTATAATATTACTGCTTCAGGTCCCTTCTCTTCATCTCTGCTGTCTAGACAGTTCACTTCTGTGTTTATTAGAAATCTCACAACACATAGATACTTTAATTAGTCAATTATTTTGCTTTAAGTAGTCAATTATTTTGCTTTAAGTAGTCAATTATTTTGCTAAGGGAGTTAAAAATCATGCACATATTTAATGTTTAGGCTATTTGCTCCTTTTAAAAATGCTTTGTGCTTTTTTATTTTATGTGCGTTGGTGCTTTGTCCGCATTTATGCCTGTATGAGGGTGTCAGAACACTTCGAACTGGATTACAGACAGTTGTAAGCTGCCATGTGGGTGATCAGCACTGAATCTGGTCCTCTGGAAGAGCAGCCAGTGCTCTTAACCTCGGAGTCATCTCTCCAGCCCCTTATTTGTTCCTTTATATAGATGTAGCTAGAATTTTCCTTCTGCACAAGGGCCTTCCTTTATAACTTTCTATAGCTCAACTCGGCTATTTGATGAATTCTTCTGCTCTGCACATCTGAAAAAGGTCTTCTTCATTTTTGCTTGTAGAAGACATTTGCTGGCTATAGAATTCTGCTTAACTGTTTCTGCTTGCTCTACTCTTTGCTTGCTTGCACTGGTTCCACTGAACAATCTACTGTTGTATCTTTGCGGCTCTTGTCTTATCGCCTTAGCTCCTTTTACCTTCCTGAAGTTGCAGCTTTTTCTCGTCTGTCCAGACTATTGGGTTCTGCCTGGGCTTGGAGAATCTCTACATAGTGAGCTCAGCTATTTACACTGCACTCACTTCATATTTCTCTTGATTCAGATATCAACACTCTAGACTGTTCACTGTGTGAAAATCAATGGGTATTTTTACTCTTTCTGCTTTTGCTTTGACTTTATTTAATGCACCAGGATAAATTTGATTCCTCATACTCTTCGGTTTTTGTTTGCTCATTTGTTTGTTTGTTTGTTTGTTTTTTTCTGGAAGCAGAACTTCTGAATTGTCAAGCCAAAGTGATAAATGCTTAAAATATTATAACTAACTTATGACTGTAAAACACTCTCCTCAGAATTGACCTATATTTTCCATTAACTAAAAATTATCAACTCATTTTAAAAAACCTATATAATGCCATAAATGTTTGATGTTATTTCTTCTCTTCCAGGGAACAGAAAACATTCAAACTGGATTTTTAAATCATTGTACATTAACAATAAGCCACAAGTCGAAAAATGCGATCCTGAACAAAATGCTTCAAGCGACTGAGGAAAGAAAGCTGACCTGCGGGTTTGAAACACTGGTCTAAAACGAACCCTTCTTGTAGGAAATTACAACTGGAAAGTTTTGTTTGACTCTTTATATACCCAAATAAAAGGAACTGTCAATGTGTTTCTCACCACAACCAGGATTATGTGAGATTATCTGTTATCTTGACATGCTCACCAGGGAAGGGAACACTGGAGAGTAACTGAAGGACACCAGTCAAGATGACTTCCGAAGAAATGGCAGCTTCTGTCCTCATCCCTGTGACTCAGAGGAAAGTGTCTTCGGCCCAGTCGCCAGTGGCAGAGAACAAGAGTGAAGATGTCTTGGATGCCCGTACTCCAAAGGCATGTGCTGCCAGGCACAGTGATCAGATCCCTTGTACCATCTCACAGTGGAACAAACCTGAGGCCGAGCCTTCTAGAAGTGATTTGTCCCAGGTACTCCCAATAGCAAGTGAGGAAGTAATGAGTGATGAGGACCACAATGAAAAGGGCTGGGAGCAAAACCTGCCAAATTCTGTGAACAACCACGCCATTAACCACAACAGCTTATTGCAAAGCCACCAGCGTGACCTTCCTCGGAGCCAGCTTTATGTAGCCTGTGACTCTGTCAGAGGAGAGGACTTGTGTTTGCAAACTGGAATTTCTTCTCCACTGGAAAGGAAGGTGTTCCCTGGAATCCAACTGGAAATGGATGATCCTCCTATGGATGTAAGACCTTTGGGAAATGAGCCTGGCATCCCAGGGACCAGCGGACCTCACCCTGACAGCAACATGGCAGTATTTCATTTCCGTTATGAAGCTGCCAGAAGCATGTCAGACACTTTCCATACCCTGTCAGAAAAATTAATTTTGGATGACTGTGCAAACTGTGTGACTCTTCCCAGGGGGCAGCAGAAGAAAAATTGCATGGCGCATACTTGTAAACTATTGGAACTGACCAAAAACTGTGGCAGTAAGAACGGGCAACTGCAGTGTGATCATTGCAGCTCGATGCATGACAAATACCTGTGCTTTGAAAGCTCCTGCCAGCAGGCTGATGATGTGGTCTGCTCAAGTGGTGGCTTTTGCAGGGAGAGCTTTGCTCACAGTCCACCTGCCAAGACTTTTCTTAGCCCTTTGGAGGACTTCTCTGACAACTGTGAAGACGGAGACGAGTTTTCTAAAAGCAAAAAGGAACGGTCCACTTTGCTAGTCAGAAGGTTTTGTAAAAATGACAGGGAAGTGAAGAAGTCTGTGTATACTGGGACTAGAGCAATCATGAGAACCCTGCCTTCTGGCCATATTGGGCCAGCTGCTTGGAACCATGTTGATCAGAGGAGAGCAAGGCTCTTGGGACCTTGTGGGGATGTAATAGAACCTCTGTCAACAATGGATGCAAGGCCACGTGGTAGCCATCATCTGTCTGAAGCCCAGTGGTGTCTGGTAAGAGTTTGTGTTTATTCCATCCCTTTTCCTTCCTTCCTTCATTCCTCCTTTAGGAGTTTTTATACAGGGTCTTACTACATAGGTCATACATAGGCCAGGAACTTGCTATGTATGTGGCCTAGCTTGTCCTTTAACTCATAACCCTCCTGACATAGCCTCCTGAACCTTGAGATTAAAGGTATGTGCACCTGTTTCTTTCCATTATTTCATTAAACTTGACTTTTTAAAAGAAATCTGAATTTCTATTGCTTTAATTAAAAGATAAAGCAAGGGGTCAAAATATGGTTCTTAGAGGAACTATTGGTAGTTATTGGGAAGTAGATATTCCCAATTGATAGCTCCCAAGTCTAAGTTGACTCTGCAGCAACATAGGTCATAAAATATACACAGGGCTGTGTAGGGAATGGAGAACTTAGAGATTTTCTGATGACAGAAACATGACTTTGTCCATTAGCTTTGGAGATGCATTCCCAAGTCTTTTTTTTTTTTTTTTTTTTTTTTTTTTTTTTTTTTTTTTTGCACTGCATGATCTGTGGCCTTTAGCTTTACAGGCCTGAAGTTTAAATCTTGAGGTTTCCACTTTATAGCCAAAGGTTTTTTTTTTCCTTTCTTCTCTCTTAGACTCTCTCTCTCTCTCTCTCTCTCTCTCTCTCTCTCTCTCTGTATGTGTGTGTGCGTGCCATATACTCCTTCAATGAATGTGTACCCTTTCACCAAATGAAATAGGAAACATTAACAATGGAGAAAATTATGTTGACTTACATTTAGGAGACACAAGATGGTTTTGAAATTGTGAGATGGTAATTTAATTTAAATGCATCTTTATTGCCAAATAGACCATTGTTACCTAGAAATGTGATAGCTAACTGAATTTCCAAGCAGTAGGGAATGTAAGTAGAGTATGACTTGCCTAGGACTTAGTTTTGACATTGTTAGCCTCATGTTCTAGGAAATTCCCTCTAATCTAGGGGCAAAAGGAGACAACTGGTCACCCCAAATAGCCATAATATTATAAGATACCTGCCACAACTATGACATGATGTGAAAATGTGTTATTTTTATTGGTGGCAAGGTCAGTTACTTCTACTTCTACCTAGGTTTTTTGTAGATATTCATGATTAAGGAAATGCTAAATTTCCACATAAGGTTACTGAGAATATTCTTTTTTTTTCTTTTTCTTTTTGAGACAGGGTTTCTCTGTGTAGCTTTGGAGCCTATCCTGGCACTTGCTCTGTAGACCAGGCTGGCCTCGAACTTACAGAGATCCATCTGCCTCTGCCACCCAAGTGCTGGGATTAAAGACATGTGCCACCAATGCCTGTTGAGAATATTCATTTTTTTATTCTCATCTAAGTTTCCAGGCCCTCCAAGAATCTAGGTTTTTTTCTCTTTAGCCATATACAACCAGGCAACTTGCTCTGGGCCACATCTGTACTGCTGAAGGCAGAACCACATGCTTTACCTGTTTCTTGCCTCTTTTTCTTCTGTTCTTTCTTGTGATAGAGTCTCCTGTAGTCCAGGATGGTATTGAATTTACTGAATAGGCAAGGCTGGCCTTGAACTCCTGATCTTCCTATTTCTACCAAGTGATGAGATTACAGGATTGCCCCACCACTCCCCATCACTTATTCTTATCCTGGCTAAACATTCCTACTTCCTTCAGCCATTCTCTGTGGGAAATTGTTTCTTGAACTTTCACATTTCAGTTCTTCACACGTCTTTTATTTAGCCTGATCCTAGATGAATATTCTTTTTATTGAAATAGCACTGGTGTGTTTTTACCTTGGTTATTACCATTGATCATAGAAGGCTGACATTGCCCAAAGGGAGTGGGGAGTGCATGGGGAAATAGAGGCGACCTCCCAGTTGGACTAGGGAAGGGTGGGAATGGGAACTTAAGGGATCGGGTTGGGGGTGGGCAGAGGAAGACAGTGCTGAGAGAGGCATTGGAAAGGTGGGAAGAAGTCTGGTGCAAGGGAAACCTCCACAAGTCTACAAGGATGGCCCCAGCTAAGATTTCTGGCAGGAGTAGAGTCATAGCCTGAACTGGCCATCCCTTGTGATGGGATTGGTGACTATCCCAGTTGTCATCAGAGAGCCTTCATAAAGTGACTCACAGAGGCAGATTCACAGACCTGCCAAACCTCCCATTCATTTCAGTGTCTGCTGATGGGATCATCCCACTCTCCCTTGTTTGAGGTATTTCAGACTTGGCTCTATTATGCTGATTACAACTATGGAGCCATATTACAGTGTTCAGGTCCCACCAAGGCCCTTTCAAGCAGAGTCTCAGATTTGGACACATTGTGAACATTTTTTTTCAAAGTTCCCTTAAAGATTTTTGAGTTCTGGGGAACCACTGGCTGACATTAAACGGAGCGCTTTGCCTTTTTAAGAAAAATCTGTTTGTGTGGCAAGTATTTGTTCTGCCATACAGATCCAGATAGGGCTTGGGCCCTTGGGAGCATTAGGGGTCTTGTCTGACATATGGAAGCCTTACTGTTTGTTGTCCATTCACCACAGCCAAAGTGTGGGTTCATTTCATCTCTTCTCCTGATCCCCCAAGAAATCTGAGTCATTCAAGACACTCAATACAGAGTGGCCTGTCTTGCCCTGCACTCTGAAGGCTTACCCGGCAGCTCTCCAGCCTGAGGCTGCTGCTGAGGACAGCATGCCACCTCCAGTGAAAGGGTATAGATTTCTAAAATCACGCACGCTTGAGAGCACATGAGAAACTTCAGGACAGCAAATGGACTGCTGTCCAAGCTTCTGAAGGAGGCTTGTGTTGGGTGTGAGTTTTAGGATGCGACGGTGCTTCCTGCTGGCTGCCTCCACCTGGAAGCTAAAGGGAAGTAGCTTATCAGGCTGGTTAGTTTACAGTGAAAAGAACTGATGCGATGAGGCAAGCGGTCTCCTCCCTGTTCAGTCTCTGGAGGCTAGGAGAGGTCACCACAGCTCTGTTAGAGAGGGCCTCAAGAACCGCTCTTCTCTGTGTCTCAGCTGCCTTTTGGAGGCTGTTGGGCATTTTGTTTATTGCCACTTACAGCATAGCTGGGGATGGGCTGACTGTCCTGTTCTTTCTAGGAGGAATCTGTAATGGAGAGTCCTTTTTCAACACACATGCCTCAGTGTCAGAAAGTCACTGGTCTTTATTCTCCACATCTTGCTCTTTAGTTTACAGTCTGGCGGAAATGCTTAGCATTTTGGCCCAGCTGAACTATGTTCACTTCATCACAAAGCACGGTACCACCATGGTACACTCCCATTCTGTTTTTTGATTGTTACATGTGTATCCTGCCTGGTTGCTCTGTCAGGTTGTAAACTTACAAAGGGCAGGGAGAGAGCCCTATGCTCGCCCCACACACACCCCATATAATAATGTAAGCATAATGCCAGATGCATTATGACAAGGACAAGGACAATGACATGGTTGGAAACAGGCTCTGGAGTTAACCCACATTTAAATTATGACTTGGGATCTAAAAGTGATTGACAGGTCAATCTCTTTGCTTCTAATTACCTTTCATGTAAACCAGGCATAAAGGTGCCATTGTGGGCCACTCTACAGTGAGATGCTATCCTTCACACAGTGCTGAAAGCAGTGAGAGAGCCTCTCCTCCCAACCTTTCATTTTCTGCTCGTTAGTGGACTCGTTCCTACCCCTTTAGGCTTTTTGTTGACCTTGCAAGGAAGTTTACACCAGTATGAATCATAATGTTCGGTTTGCCCTCCATATCTACAGGCTTTGCATTCATGAACTCCATCTGATGTAGACCGAAAGTATCTGAAAAACGTGGCTAGGACTGTGGTTTAGTGATAGAGCGCTTGCCTATCACATATAAAGCCCTGAGTTTAAACTCCAGGTACCACCTCCTCTGTCCTACCCATAGCATTTAGCCAGGTCTGGTGGCATAGACCTATAATCTCAACTACTCGGGAGCTTGAAGCAGGACAAGGTCACTTAGTGAGACCCTATGTCAAAATAAATGCAAAAAAGCCTGAGGATATAGCTCAGTGGTATAGTGGCATTGTGCTTTCCTAGCATGTGTTAGGCCCTAGGTTCAGTTCCACATCACACACACACACACACACACACACACACACACACAAACACACACACACACGCACGCACGCACGCACACACACACACACACACACACACACGTTAGAAGCATACATATATAGCTGGGTTTTTTTTCCTTGTCATTAGTCCCCACACAGCACAGCACAACAATTCAAAGTGTATGCAGGGGGAATAGGCAGCATGCAATACTATACAATTTTATATAAAGGACTTGAATATCTGCAGTTTGAGTTTCCATGGGGTCCAAGGAGCAACTGTGTTATCTTAGCCTGTAACATGACCTCCCAGTCCTTCCTACGAATTGCAGGCAAGTGTTACTCTTCTAATTAGTTCTTTGGCATTACATTTTTACCCCCCCCCCCCGACTGTGTGGTGATCAGAACAGCCCAGTGGATTTATATTTTCACAGCTGTGTGGAGAGAGTAGGTTTGGATGAAGACATTAATGAGGATTCATGCTTGCTGACTAACCAGATTGCTAGCCTCCTCCTGCCTGTAAAACATTAAAGCACACCCCGCCCCCATCCAGTCCCATGTGTACTCCCCCTGCTCTGAATCTATTGGCTCAACAAAGTGGAGTCTTTGACAAATGGCTAAGGTCTGCAGGGTAAAGATTTCACTAGGAGTGTTTATCCTTAAAAAAAAAATCTTCCCTGTCTGAATCTCCAGGAGTTCAAAGCCTAGAGTTGTCTTACAGGTGGATTGAAGTGCAGGTGGTGCCAGCCTTTGTCTTGGCAAACCTGCCAGTGTGACCCTAGCCCTACTACTCAGTAGCAGTGGAAGGGGAGCTGGGTGGTGAAGGCAGAGACGTCACAGCTGCTGGGCTGGCACTTCAAGGATTTCCCATCTTTGATCCTAAAGAGGGGTCACTCACTCTACATGAATATGTACGGCAAAGCAGAGAAGGCTCATGT